GGATAGGGCAGGGGGAGGACAGGATCCTCCCTGACCCTTGCAGTAATCAACTCACACCCTGAAGCATGAGATTTGATTATTTCTAATCAAAGGTTCCTTAACTGTAAATATTACAGAGCCAAATATCACGCAGCCCTTCCAAAGCCTAGCTATAGTCCATTAACTCCATGAGCCCCAGAGTGGGTTTCTTTCTGGAGGACTTTTAACCTGCATTTTGTTTTGCTCCTTAGTCTCTCCATAGCACTCCCTCTCCCATGCATATTTTCTCAGGGCTTTTTAATGGGTTTTGTGGCTGTTTGGTGGTTTGGGGTTTTGGGGGTCAGGGGTTTTGTTTGTTTAGGGGCAAGGGTGTGAGGAGGTGGTATCTTGGTTTTGTTTTGGTTTTTAAGATGACTGCATTGGTAAGTTAATCTTTTAAAGGATATTAAGACTTGAGGCTCTTTCAAGCTACTGGGAAAAGCAGCCAAAAGCATCAAGAAGAAAGTCTTTTCTCTAAAGGAAAGTACTGTTGTTCTTGTACCAAGCTAACCAGGCCTATCAGACAAAGGCTGCCCATGGTCTTCAGGCAGTAAAATTCACAGACCATGTAACACTTCTAAATCATAAAACAATCAGCATATGTGCTTAATTAATTTAGCAAGCCAATTCCAATGCCTGGAGTATGCACATGAGGAATAAATTGTTTACTTGCACAAAGGTGTAAACTTTGGCAAAAAAAAGGGTCGTTTTGTCATATTATGAAAGCCAGGACTGGCAAAATTTAAGAAATGTGTAGTGCCTGCATTCTTTGGGTTTAATACAGTACTCTAAGGTAGCTTAGTAAAAACTGTCGTTATTAGAGTACCATGATTTGTGGATCCTGCTTACAAACAGGCAGCTGTTACTAATAACCTGCACATAGAAAAAAAATGTAAGAGTTTACTAAACCAGGGTACTGGTTTATGAAAAAACAATGTCAAATTCCTGAAAGAAAATCAAGCAAATGCATCTCTTTCCCCTCCTCCCTTCACCCACAGAAGCTCTGTGTTGAGAAAGATCATACAAATTCAATCCTTTTTTTTTTTTCCCCACATTTATTCTCTTAAAATGCATGAAGCTTTTTTTAATGGCATATGGATACTTCTGGTTTTACCACCCATTTCCACTGACCACCTCTGCCCTGCCGGGACAGGTCCCACACCAGGACTGCACCGCACAAAGCAA